TCTGTTCGCCACTGATAACCAGGGAAACTACAACCCATTCAACGAGCTGAACTGGCTCGTCGAAGGTGCCCGCTACGGGTTTGTGAACAAACTTGAGCGGGGCAAAGAAATTCCGGCAGGCAGCTTCTCGGCCATAGAGATCCCCCACCCTTGGACGAGGAGTGTGAATGGCATCTGCTTTCTCGACACGCCAACAGAATTACGTGAAAAGCAGGACGGGCCGAGTTTCGGTCCCTTCGAAGGACACCTGCTGGGTTGCGAATACGATACGCGACGGCTGATTCGCATGAGCCTGCAGAAGGTTGACGGGGAGTACCAGGGAGCAGCTTATCCATTCACCCGCACTCCGCAGGAAGGTGAACCCGCTTTGCAAGGCCCGTTGGTCTGCAGCGTTGCCCCCGATGGCGACATCTATGTAGGAAGCATTCGCGATAGCGGATGGGGCGGCGGCACCAACGTCGGTTCTTTGGCACGACTTCGCCCCGCCGGTGAGCTGCCGCCAGGTATTGCCGAAGTGCGGGCGACCGCCACCGGGTTTGCAATCGAATTCACGGTCCCAGTGGACGCAACTGCAGGAGCCAGCGCCAAGAACTATCACCTCGAGTCGTATCGGCGAAAGTCCACACCCGCCTATGGGGGCGACGATATGGACCGGCGTGAAGAGCCCCCGGTCAGCGTCACGCTTTCCGACGACCGACGTCGGGCCAACCTTGAGCTTGAGGAGTTGCGCCCCGGGTTTGTCTACGCCCTGCGGGTTAGCGGCTTCTCTCAGGAGTTCTTCCCAGCCGAGGCCTACTACCCCCTGCGAAAAGTCCCCGCCTCGCAATAGCCACTCAGCCGCATCTTGCACCGGTTGTAACGATCGCACCGATTCTGACGGTGGTCCCTCGACACACGCTCATCCTTAGATGGATGACGTATCCTTTTCATGATCGTTTCACCGAAACGCCCCGCGTCCGTCGGGCGTTTCGTTCTCGCGGGCAAAGTGAATTCGCATGATGACGTCGTTCGAGGAGTTTCGCGCTGGCCCACTGCGCAAAGCGTGCCACGGCATTCAAGCCGTCTTGCGCAAGACCAACGGCAATGCGACGGTTGAATACGCCCTCTTCCTCACCTTAGTGGCCGCCTGTGGTTTCGGTGGGGCCGAACTGTTAGGCCTCGTCGTCGAGTCGGGGCTCGAGCATATGGCTTTCGATGAAAGTCAGATCTCCAGCAGCACTCCGCAACACACGTTTGCGGCAGACCCCCAAGACGTTGCCCTGGCTGCCGAAGTCGAGGAGGTGCGCAAACAGCCCGCTTGGCTTCACATGGTCCTCGGAGCATTCGGCACCGCCGTGGGTTGGGTTGTGTGGTACCTGCTGCGAAAACGCAGAAAATCAAAACGGCCCGAAATCGCGAACGACGAACCCGTGGCCGAGCAAGAAATCGAGGCCATCGCCAAACGGGCTTTCGAGAAACGCCAAGAGATTCTCAAAATCCTCTCTGGCGATTGGACCGGTGCCGCGGCAGGCGACATTGAAGTTGGAAAACTCATGTCGCGAAATCTGTGCACGATCAAGCCCAACACGCCCAGGGCGGAGATAAAAGCCCTCTTCGACCACCAATCCATGCGGCACGTGATCGTCGTCGATCGAGAGGGTGCCGTGCTCGGGATCATCAGCGACCGCGACTTGCATACCCGAAGTGGGAACAAGGCATCGCAGATCATGACCGCCAGGCCTTACACGGTTGCCCCACACACCGCTATCACGCCCGCCATTACGATGCTCGTCAATCGGGGTATCTCCTGCCTGCCGGTAGTCGCCAAGAACAAACTGTGCGGCATTCTAACTACCACCGACTTGATCATGGCCCTGCAATGCATTCTCCAGATTCTGGTACGGCAATCGATCAGCGGCAGTGGCGACTTGTATGACGAAGACCTTCCCGAGGCCGACCTGTTCGCCGAACACTTTGGCGACCCAGGCATTGATCCAAACGATAGCTAAGCCATGTACAACACACTACCGAGTTCACAATTCACCCGATCCAGCGGGGTGGGGCTTGCCCTGATAAGTCTCCTCTCGATGCTGGGCTGCTCGCAAGAACCGGCCTCGGCTCCAAGGTCTGCCGCATCAGTGCAAACCAGCCCTCACATCAGCGAGCAGCCTGGCACTTCAGGTATGCTGGCCGTCGCCAACATAGACACCCCCTCGCCGGCCGAGACGGCAACTCCGGCAGAGGTTCAGCGGCCAGCGACTCCTGAATTCACACCGCCATATCCGCATCGTAACAATCCATTCCAACAACCCAACGTTGAGCAGGTGGCTCGTTCTGGCATGATGGAATCCAACGGCGGATTCGTTGAACTGAAGGGGTTCATCGATGTTGGCAAGCCCCGCGTGTTGCTGGCGATGGACGATCGCTTGCAACCTTTGTACGAGGGGGATGAATGGCACGGGGTAAAGGTCATTCAGATCGACGAACCGCAAGTCATTCTGCAACGTGGACGAATTCGCTGGACCGAGTCGCTCTTCGATCGGTTCGATGAAGAAGTATCCACAGAGGCGAGCGATTCGGTCCCGTCTTCGAGCGATGCCACCGATTCTGAGAACGGGACATAACTTGGCACCAAGGTAGAACGCACATCGAACCGAGAACGAGTGCTTATCGGTTCACGGTCGTGGGGGCCGGTACGTTGTAATTGCCCGCGGGTTGCCCCTGATTCCATTCTTGCCTTTGCGCAACATTCACTCGATTGCTCGGCGCGGGCATCAGCGGTTGCTGCGCAATCGAGGGCGTTCGGGAGTTCAACTCGTTGTAGCTGGGCCCCAACGGGTAGCGCTGCTTAAGGACCACTCGCGGAGGAGCGCCTGGCGCCTGGGTCGGGTTCGCCGGAAGTCGATGTACGACCGGCTGCGGTGGTGGGGGCCCCATTGTGTTGGGAACCATTGGCGCCGGCTGCGGATTCCAAGGTTGCGAGTTTTGCATCGGACGCAACACTTGTTGATCACCCGGTGGAGGGTTGTAGGTGGGCGCATTCGGATCGGGGTTGGGCAGCACTTCGGTCGGCCCCGGCTGCTGGGGACCAAGCTCAGGCTGAATGACTTCCATCGGCACCGGCGGACAACGCGGAGATGGGAAGGGAGCACAGCCTCCCGGGGGAATTCCGTCCAGGTGCTGGTTCGAGTAGTGCAATGTCCCGACTTCTCGCGGACGCCCACTGTACTCCAACGGAACAATGTCAGGCGTAATGAACACGATCAGTTCACTCTCACTGATCGAAGTCATGCGATGCCGGAACAGTTTGCCCAGGTGCAGGAACTTGATGTTCTGCAAACCGATGATGCCACGGAAGTCGCCAATATCGTCACGCTGACGCAGACCGCCAATCACCAGCGTTTGATGATTGATCACCCGCACCGTCGTGATGGCCTCGCGAGTATCGATAATCGGCTGAGGGTTTTGGCCGTCGGTGAATCCTGCCAGCCGACTGAACGACGGGGCACACTCCAACAGCACAGTGTCATCGCTAGCAATTTGCGGTGTTACCTTCAGCATCACGCCGGCCTTGCGAAAGGCCGTGGTGCCGATGTTACCACCTTGGCTGGTTTCTTGAAGTTGCTGGTACGGGATCTCGGTGACAATCTCAATCGAGGCTTCATTCCGATCGGTCACCGTAACCGAGGGGTCGGCCAGCAACTGGGTGTTGTCGCATTCATTCAAGGCATCGATTACGGCCGTCAGGTCGAAGCTGCGGCTAAGGTTCATAAAGGTCAGCATACCCGATGGGTCACCGGTGGCGGCTGGCACCTTCATGAGCGAGTCGATGGCGAACAGTTGATTGGGGGAACCGTCGTCTTGCACATTCCCTTTGACTGCGTGGTTCCAGTTGATGCCCAAATCTTCCATGTCTTTCAGGCTGACATCGTAGATTAGTGCGGTAATGCGAACCTGCATTCGAGGGACATCCATCTCACGGACAACCCGATCGACCATCTCCAGTTGCTGGGGCGTTCCGACCACCACTAACCGGTTCTCGGCTTCAATGATCGAAACCTGCCCTGTGGCAGCCCCCTCGACGCCACCTTGGCTCGAGTTAATCACCGACTCGATGGGGTCTTGCAGGGCATCGACCTTAATGAACTGAGGGGCCCAGTGACCAATCTGGAGTGTTAGTTCTCCAATGGTCCCCGTGGTCTGCAGGGCCGCTTCATCAAGCTGCAGGGCAAAGTCGCGAATCAACTGCACACGATCTGCGAAGTCAATCACCAACAGACTGCGTGAAACTTCAACTGCTTGCACCTTGCCCCGGGGCGACTTCAGCATTTCTGCACCCGGTAGCACATCAATCGGACTGGCCGCTCGTAGCGTGATAGTGGCACTCTGGAACATGGGGTTGAAGTCCCCCATCTCCTCGAGCTTCATCACGACGAGTGTCTTCCCCACGGGACGATAGGTAAGCCCATTGCTAAGCAGGATTGAGTCAAGAATCTCGTGCAGCGGGGCATCGGTGAACACGCCGCTCACGGTGCCTTCCACATCGGTTGCAGCGAAGATATTGACGCCCCACACCTCGTTAATGGTGAACAGCGCCTGCCGGAATGTGACGTCATCCAGCGTGAGATCGCCCCGTTCTTGCAGCCGTTGGTGAATCTCCGGCGGAACGGAGTTGCTGGGCGCTTCGAGCCGGGGCTGAGCCGTGACTGTGGCGGGAAAGCAATACATGCCCCACAGAACCAACAGGAGGCAGCATACTCGATGGAGTATCCGCGCAGCAGGAAGCGCGTGGCACACACGCGTGATTACCCCTGCAGCTTCCATGTGTCCTCCCTGACACGAACCCAACTCTCAACCGAACGACTTCACTCACGCTAGCGTGCGTCGTTCTTGTTGGGAAAGGTGCAATGCGTTGCCTCTAGCCCTGCGCTTGATCTGTCATTGATCGCACCGCTTCGATCCACACGATCCTTGGCGTGGAAATACCTGTTGCCCCTCTAAATCTCCCGTGTGTTTAACAATCAAACCGCCTGTGGTTTCTTAGACAAATTGAAGATTAGAAGTTCCATCTCCAACTCGACATCTTCTGAGCTACCGGGGGCCGCCCTCATCGTGACCGTGGTGGTGTGAATCATCTTGTCCGATTCTTGGATGCGATTGAGGAAGTCGGCCACGCTTTCCATCGGACCCGCCACCGCCAATCGAACGGGCTGCGTCGTTAGCTCAAACTGTGTTATGAGGTCTTGTTTCTCTCCCGTAACAGGCTCCAAGGGGTCGTCGCCCTTTTCCCAAGACCGTCGCTCCACATGGCCCAAGTCCAAACGTCTGAGTCGGCAACCGGCCTCTCGGGCGAGTTCCACAAGTTGCTCTCTGAATTCATAGGTGTCGTCTGTATTGACTGCCTTGTTTTCCAGGCTAGCTAGCACTTGCTCCTGAGCTAGCACCCGGCTCTCAAGCGCACCAAGCGAGTCCGCCTCTCGCCTGGCATCTCTTAATGACCGAACCAATTCTTCGTCATAAGAGCGCAAAGCAAAATACTCATCGGCGGCAGGCCATATAGTAATAAGCCCTATAGCAAATGTTACCGTTATAACGATGACAGCACGCCACCGGTGCTCGACCAGGGTACGCAAATACTGCTCAACCTGGTTGTCCGACGTAATCCGATTCTTCGTCATAACCGCGCACTTCGCATTGAATACTGAATTGGGTCACTGGTCCGGCTCGAAACCGGCCGACTTCAGTCCCTTGTAAAGCAACTCGCTCAACGGTGGGGTACTTCCGCAGGTGGCTCACCAGCTCGAATACCCCATCTTCGGTCAAGGCTGCCCCCGTAATGGTGATTCGCTTCTCTCGATCGACGATCAGAGACTGCAGCCAGACATCGTTGGGCAGACACTGCCCTATGGTTCGGGTGATCGAATGCCAGGGAGTTTTCTCCAGCGCCGAATCGATCGCCATCAGATGCTCGATTCGCGTTCGACGATCGATCAATTGCAAACGCAACAAGTGCGACTGCTGCAATTGTGGTTCAAACTCCTCGAGCCGACTCTCTAATACGCAGCAATCTCGGTACTCGTAGAGAGCCACCATCCAGGTGCCGATTGCAACCAGCAGCGCAGCGGCGGCTGGCCAGAAAGCGCGAGCAAGCGCCGGGAACAAAGGATCGCGCGAATAGAGTTGAACGCGCTCGAGCATATTCGGAGTTAGCTGCTGCGGGCCCGGCATCCTAGGACGGATACAGCTTCCCACTGCGGTCATCGTCTCCGGCGAAGCCGCATCGAGCTGCAAGTCGGAATGCTGCAAGCAATACTCACGGTCGAGCACGGTGGCTTGTAGTTCGGTCTGTTCTTTGAAACGCTCTGAAAGGTTAAGAACAGTCTGATTCTCACCGATCAGGTACACGCGGCTGATGTTTCCGCTTGAAAACTTCACGTACCGGTCACAGTAACGCTGCAAACGCCCTAAGTGGCGAGCGACAATTTCGGCCACAGAAGTTTTGGCATCGTGCCCCGAGGGCCGGTAGTCGAGTAGCAATTGCCCACGATGGCACACGCCCAATTCAACGGTTCGCTGCCCCACCTGAATGACGAGCGCCGGTTCATCCACATCGCCACCTAAAAAACCCAAGAGGCGACATGAGCCCACAATCGAAGGTTCTACTACGTCCACCTTCATGCCTGCCCGGTTTGCAGCGTCCATCACCCGTGTTAGAACGCGTTGATTCACAATCGAAAGCAGTGCGTGCTGTTGTTTCGCATCCACCTCACGTATGCAACGACCAAAGGTCTTCGGCCCGTGCCCCAGCAGAAAGTAGGAAGAGCTGCGTTCCTCGAGTTCGTGCAACTGCTGACGGACCTCATCCGATTTCCCGGTCACAACCCTGGTAACACAAAAGTCGCCACTGAGAGAAATCTGAACGGTCTGGTTGTAGAGTTTGAGGCTTGAAGCCAGTTGTTTGAATGCTGCGGTGATTTCCTGTAGCCCGGTGTCTGAATCGAGCGAGACCGATGCATTGCGCCAGGTGACGGATTCGGTCGAGACCTGCAGTTCCCCGCCCGGCCGCTGTTCGCTGATGCAGGCATGCAACGAGGCGTAAGTAACCTCGATGGCCACGCTGCGCTGAAGTTGTTCTGTTCGTTGTCGTTTCATGGTCGGCTATTGCGCCTCAACGGTTACTTGTAGTCGCCGCACCACTTCGCCGGCCGCCCCAGTCCCGGTAACAATCACCGTTCCGTTCTCAACCTCACTGACCTCGGCCGCATAGATCCCGCCACTCCCTGGGGGAAATTCGATCTTGGAGACCCCCGTTCGCCAACTCGGGTCGTTCTCCAATTCGGCCAGGCAGTGATAAACCCCAGCCCCGGCGAGGTACGTCGCTCGCTCGTAATCGATCGTGTTCCGTAAAGCCGACCATTGCCCAATCTGCGTATCAAGCACCCCGACCAACAACATCGACGTCATCGATATGATGAACAGGCACACCAGTAGGGCCACCCCGTGCCGCTGGTTCAACGCGGAGCGAGCACGAGTTCCATGGCGGCTGGATTTGTATTGGTTTTTACTTGCCATCTCGCTCACCACGCCCTCCGCCACGCATGGCTGCGAATGACCCGAAGCTCTCCACTTCCCCGTGGGAGCGTCACCGTGACAATGCACTGGATCGATTGTGCGTTCGCTGGATCGGTGGTTATCGTGGTCCCGTCAGCTTCGAAAGCGATGAACCTCAACGTATCGATATTTTGGGCCAGCACATTGGAAGCGGTGTCGGCGCCGTACATCACCAGGTTTCCCGTTTGAGCCCACGCATATGTTTTCCCATCCGGCATCAGCAGTGTGAGGTTCCCATACACATTACTTGCGTCGCTCACCGCCACGACGGCTTCAGCCTGACGCACTCTGCGCACGATGTGCCGAACCAGCTTCTGCCCAGCTTCCAGTCGGGCGTGATCTTCTTGGTGGGCTTCCCAGACGCCTTGCGATGTTCGGAGCAGAACCACTCCAGAGGTCATCAGCGCAGCCATCATCGCCGAGGCAGTCACAACCTCGAGCAACGTAAAGCCAGCTTGCCTCCTAGTTCGCTTCCGCAACACCTTCATACCTCTCCATCTTTGCGAGCTTGGTCGCTAGCGTTAACGACTTCTCATCGGCATCTTGCTGAGCATCGTTGTCAGCGTCGTTCCACACGGTCACCGAGATCGCCATGAGTTGATCGGGAATCCCGCCGGCTTTCGCCGAGGTTGAACTCTGCACTTTGTAATTCAGCTCGGCATATCCTTCGCGTGCGAAGGTGCCCGTGGTGTTCGCTTCTGTGAATGTGGCGGCCGCCAGGGCCAGGTGCTCCTCGAGCTTCGATACACAGAACGTCGCAATCGTATTCTGGGTATCGATCGAACTACCGTTGGTGATGCTGTCCCTCATGAGTGCCAACGCAGGCACAATCGCCAGGGCCGTAAGCGAGGAGGCCATGACCAATTCGATCAGGGTGTATCCCTTACGGAGGGTTGGCCGAGGAGGCGGTCGACGCATCATGTTCTCGCCCCCTTTCAAACGGCCCACAATTCAGCCCTAAGTGCCTGCAAAAACGTACGTTGCGAATTCGCAACGTCAATCGCGCCACAGGGCCATAAGGCAGAAACCTTGGGTAGATGTTTTGCCGCGTGAACCGCTCAGATGAGTGACTCAGCGGGAAATCATGCGAGGGCTTTCTTCGATACCGTTCATCGGGGCGAAATCCCGGGAGAGCTCCGAACGTTCGGATGCGCTGACCGTGCCAGTCAATGCGTTTACAGCGATTCCGTAGCTTCGATTGGGTCCGTTCAGTCGGAAGGCATAGCTACCCAGTGCCGAGCCTTCAAAGTCGAACTCGGCGGTGGCCGCCCGCGGTGTTACTGTCACTTCATCGGAAAAGACATAGACGTCATCCACGGCGACCAACGAATTGTCATCCAGACGTAGCATGATCTGGTAAGCAATGGCCGTAGATCCTGCCATGGTGAATTGCAGCAGATGGTTGTCGCCGGTGGCAATCGCCCGTCGACGAGCCTGAGCCAAATCGAGCGACAAGCGACGGGCTTCGACTTTCGCCCCAAGGTTGCCTAAGGTGCCCGTTGTAAATGTGGCCGTTACAAAGGCCATCAACCCTAGCAGGGCCAGCACCGCCACCAACTCGACCATATTGAAGGCCGGCCGGAACGATGCCGAGCTGTCCCCAGATGGCTGCTTACCACATCGCGTTTTCATGAAGTGCTTCACGGCAGCACGCGATGGAGTTGCTTGTCGATCTCGTAGGCGGACGTTCCAGCAGGAGGCACCGGCACTCCATCTGGAAGGTAATCCGGAACCAACTCCTCAAGATCCGTCGGCCAAGCGCCGGTCTCAGTATAGAACTGCTCGATTGCCGAGTTCAGTGCTCCGACGGTGTGCTTTCTGGCACTCTCTCTGGCCGCATCGGATGTGAACGAGGTCCGAGGGACAATCAAAGCCGCAATGATGCCCAAGATCACAACAACTGCCAGGATCTCCAGCAACGAGAATCCGTCGCGTCTAGGACCTTGAACCATTTCAATCCAACCAGCGGTTACGAGTGCAGATGCGATACTGCAACGAGAGAGCGAGCGTCAAGCTTCAACACCCGCAGTCCTCGAACTAAAGCCCGGTACCGGTGATTCGATTGGTCTTCGGATCGATGGTGTAGGCCGAATCGTCCACCGGGTTCGTAGGAACTCCGTCGGGGAGGTACGTCGGAACCATGTCGGCCAAAGCGGACGGCCATTTGCCGTTATCGACGTAGAAACGTTCGATCGCTGAGTTCAGCGTGGCGGCCGTGTGTTCATTAACTCGTTGTTTCGCGGTATCCGAAGATACGGTCACGCGCGGCACGACGATGGCCGCAATAATCCCCAGGATCACAACAACAGCCAGTAATTCCAACAGCGAGAAAGCGGAGCGTTTCTTGTTTGTAGCCACGAATCTATCTCCAGGTTTGCTTCATCTAGGCGGCAACCGCGGGGTTGGTCCGAACCTCTCTAATCCAGCTCCGCCAATCGCAGGCGGTTAATGCGAGTGTCCGATTACTCTGTGCGTCGAAGGATCTAACTCGTAGGGTGATCCGTCGACTGGGCAGGTCGGTACCCCATCGGGGAAGTACTCAACCGAGCGAGCAATATCACTAAGGTCGCTGGCAGGCCAACTTCCGTTGTCACGAAACCACAAGCCGGCCTGCACCTCAATATCTCCTTTATTTACGTAGCACGCTTGAGTGCGCAAGTCGTTGTCGGCACCGGAAAAACTCCCTACCACAATGGTGGCCAGCACCGCCAATATCGTCACAACCCCCAGCAGTTCGAGCTGGGACAAGCCTGCAGCAGGCGGCCGCACGAGAGTCCTCTGACCACCACATAAACCACCAGCTCTCCTCAGCAACCGTTTCATGCGGGAATACCCATCTCTGAAGATTAGGCCAACAATCGGCGGCACACCGCCACATTTCAAGCAACCTCTCTGCCACTGCCTGCCAGACGAGACGACCTCTATTTCGTCCCCACCACGTTGATCATGTCGAACATCGGTAGGTAGATCGCCAATAGAATGATTCCGATGGCAACGGCCATGCCGATTGTCAGCACTGGTTCGATCGTGCCCACCATCAAGTCGGTTCGCTTTTCAATTTGCCGTTGAAGGTGAACTTCAACTTGGGTCGTGGTATCTGCCAACTTACCCGTCGACTCGCCGATGATGACCAACTGGCTCACAATCGGCGGGAACAGATTCTCATGAGCTTCCAACTCCCGGCTCAATCGCTCACCACGATTCACCGCCGTTTTCAAGTCTTCAACCGCCGCTCGAACCTCAGCGTTCTTGACCGATCCGGCAGAAATAGCCAGTGCGTCGGCCACCTTGAACCCAGATTCGAGCATCGTTCCCAGCACCTGAATGAACTGGTGCACGGCGATATCCCGAAACCACTCTCCGACAAGCGGGATCCTCAGAATGAACCCGTCGAACCAGCGTGCCACCTTGGGTACATGGCGCACTTGCTGCCACAGTACGAAGCAAGCGACGAGAGCCACCAGAACCATCCAGCCGTACTCCACCATCAAGTCAGATCCCACAATCATCGACTGTGTAATGAAGGGCAGGGGGATCTTGGCCTTGTCGTACGTTTCCTGAAACACCGGAATAATGAAGGCCAGCATGAAGATTACCACCCCCGTGCCGGCGAACAGGACAACCCCCGGGTAGCTCAGGCGTTTGATGATGAGCGAACGCAGTTGATTCGACCGTTCGAGCTGCGTGGCCACTCGCTCGAGCGTGTGCGCCATCGTCCCAGATCGTTCGCCCACTCGGATTTGGTGCACCATCAGGTCGGAGAACACCGAGGGAAAGCCCTGCAGAGCCGCGCTGAACGACTCGCCGGCCTCGATCTTGCGGCGAATGGCGCTCAACAGGTCGGAGTATTTTCGCAGCGAACGTTCTTCTTCCAGCGTGGTCAAAGCTCTTGGCAGTGCAACACCGTTCCCCACCAGTACCGAAAGATTGCCGATGATGTAGGCAAGATCACGCTGCGGTACACGCAGATGCTCTGGTCCATCGCCCGACCCACCGATCTTGATGCTGTGTAACTTCGCCAACCAATGAAACACACCGGTCGCCTGGTGTCGCTGAAGTGCCGCTGCTGATCTGGCCATGATTATTTGCACCTGGCATCGGGAAGAGCCGACTCGCCCGCTCTATCGCACTCGCATCGTAAGTTCGTCGAGAATCACTAAGTTGCAGTCTTGTAATACACTTCTTCGAGCGTGGTCCGGCCGGCGATTGCTTGTTCCAACCCGGCCGATCGTAGCTCGACCATCCCTTCAGCAATTGCCACCTCGCGCAACTGCGCCGCAGGAACGCCATTCTCGATCGCATCGGCAAGTGGTTGGGTGACCACCATGATTTCGAAGATCGGCAAACGCCCCGCGAACCCGGTTCCCACGCACTTTTTGCAACCACGCCCGTGATAAAAGGTGGTGTCCGCAGCAATGTCCCTGTTTGCCCCAAGAAGCTCCAGTAGCGACTCGTTGGGTTCCGCGGGCTCTCTACACTCGGGGCAGATCCCTCTCAGCAGTCGTTGAGCCACCGAACCCAACAGGGCTCCGCCGATTTTGAATCGGTCGACTCCCAGATCATTCAATCGCGCCACAGTACCCACGGCGTCGTTCGTGTGAAGAGTACTGATGAGCAAGTGACCCGTCAGAGCGGCTTGCACCCCCGTGGTGGCCGTTTCGTGATCGCGAATTTCACCCAGCAGAATTACGTCCGGGTCTTGCCGCATGATGTACTTCAATGCGTTGGCAAAGCCCAGGCCGAATTCATTGTCCGACTGCACCTGGTTGATACCTGGAAGTCGATATTCGACGGGATCTTCGACCGTCACGATGTTTCGCTGTACCTCGTTCAACCGCGACAGCACCGCGTACATGGTGGTGGTTTTACCCGAGCCCGTGGGGCCGGTGACCACAATCATGCCGTGCGGTTTGTCGATCAGCAGTTGTAGCCGCTTAAGATCGCGAGAGGAGAAGCCTAACTTCTCGAGATCGAAAATCTGGTTGCCTTCGTCCAACAATCGCAACACAACTTTCTCGCCACCCACGGTGGGAATCGTGCTCACACGAAAGTTGACCTTACCACCATCGTCCTGCACCGTGAGTCGCCCATCTTGCGGTCTGCGGTTCTCGGTCGTGTCCATTTCCGACATAACCTTGATTCGCGCAACCACGGCCTCTTCAATGTGGCTCGGGATGGTCATCACCTGCTGCAACTCGCCGTCGATCCGATATCGGATCCGCATTTCCGGCTTATGCGGCTCCAGGTGAATATCGCTGGCACCCGCGTTGATGGCGCCCATCAGCACCGCCCGAACCAATCGAATCACCGGTGGAGCGTCTTCCACCTCGATGGCTTCGTTAGTGTCCAGCTCTTGCAGATCTTTTTGCGAACGAAGATCCGAGATCTTCATATCGACGATCGTCTGCTGAGCGACAATCCGGTCGTCGAACCCTCGATCGAGTGCCGCTTGAACATCGGGGTCGAGTGCCACGTAAGGGGCGACGCTGTAGCCCGTCAGCAGTTCGGCCTCGGAAATGGTGGCAATGTCGTCAGGAGCCACCATCGCAAGTGAAAGCCGGTCGGCGGTGATCTCAATCGCCGCCGCACGATGTTGTCGTGCGAACCCCTCGGGCAGCATGCGCACGACTTGAGGGTTCAGCGCCTCAGGCACAATCCGAGTGAAGGGCACTTCAAACTGTTCGGCCAACGCCTCACCCAAATCGTCGATGGTTATCAGGCCGCGGCGCAGCAGGATGGCTCCCAACAGGCCCCGTTCGTTGCCTTGGTTGCTCAGTGCACTTTGCAGTTGGGCCTCGGTAATGCGGCCCATGCGAACCAGAATGTCGCCTAATCTGCCTGCCATCGGTTGTGGATGCTCTCCTGTGCGTTACGACTCAATCACTTGCCTTCAGTGGCTCGCTCTAATAGCTCTTCAACCTTCGACTCCATCACCGTCGGATCGAATGGCACAACAAGAAAGTCATCAGCCCCTGCGGCGTACGCCTTTTCGACCGATTCGAGTTCCGAGTCGGTCGAGAACACCAGAATCGGAACCGGATCAGTCTGTGGTTCAGAACTCAACTGATTAATCAGGTCGAACCCGGAAATGTCGGGCAAGAACAAGTCGACAATGATCAGGTCCGGCAGATCTCGTCGCGTCTGCTCGAGGAGTTCCTGTCCACCCTTCATCCGCTCGACGCGATACCCCAACAGTTCAAGCCGAAACGAGATGATCTCTGCCAAAAGATCATCTTCTTCGGCCAGCATTAAATAGGGGCGCTCGTCGCGCATGGGTGTGCCTGCAGGTGAGGGAGTGACTACTTGGGCTGTCTACCGAAACCGTCGCGTCGCGACGTAAGCAGAATGCCCGGAGGGATTTCGTCTGAGAAAAGTTAGCTTCCACCTCGGGTTATGCAAAAAGTGCGCGGTGCGCTAGGGAAGGGGCCGACTTGCGTTGGGAAATTCTACAGAGCGTATTGTGAGGGTTGCACCGCAGGGACCGCTTACGCAACTGGTACCGATTATCGTAGAATCGTGGCTCGCAAGGCGTTCTTGAACGCGGAACTTGCTTGCAGATCGAAATTCGTAGCGGACCAGTAGTAGGGCAACTTCCAGGGCAAAGCGATGTTAGGCCTCAAAACATTCGGAAGCGGTGCCCCGGGGCCCAAGCTGCTGATCACCGGAGCCGTTCATGGCGATGAATACGAGCCCATTGCGGCAGTGCTTCGCCTGACCAAACAGCTCGAGACGCTTGAGATACACGGCTCTGTGACCTTAATCCCGGTGGTCAACGCTCCGAGCTACCAACTCGGGCGAAGAACCGCAGAAGACGGCCTCGACCTGGCCAGAACCTGCCCCGGAAGCCCGACCGGCTCGACGACCGAACAGATCGCCGCTGCCCTGACTGAGGAAATCGAAGGCTCCGACTTCTTCATCGATCTACACTCCGGGGGAAAGATCCTCGATATCTGGCCCATGGCCGGCTATATGCTGCACCCCGCCCCCAATGTGCTGGAAAAACAGCGGCAGATAGCTGTAGCGTTCAATCTGCCCGTGGTCTGGGGAACCGATTACCGGCTCGATGGTCGGTCGCTGTCGGTCGCTCGCGATGCCAAAGTGCCAGCGATCTACTGTGAATACGGCGGCGTGGGTCGCTGCGAAGGAAAATGCGTGACGGCCTACGTCGAAGGTTGCCTCAACGTGATGGCAGCACTCGAAATGATCGATCGCCCCCTGCCAGCTTCCGAGATCCAGTGGTTTGTGGAAGATCCCCGCCCCCAGTCAGGACATCTGCAGGTAAATCACCCTTCGCCCTCTGCCGGGATATTCGAAACGCATCAAGAAATCGGTCAGCTTATCGAAAAAGGCCAACCGCTTGGTTATGTGCTCGACGTTGTCACGGGCGAACCGAGCGAGGTGCTGGCCGAACAAAGCGGGCTTCTGTTGGCCATTCGAGCCCTAGCCAAAGTGGAACAGGGTGACTGCCTGGGCGTGGTGGTCGACACTTCCTACACCGTCGAGGTGGATCATGCCTAGCAAGCCCGTGGTGCTCATTACCGGTGCCGCCCGAGGGATTGGCAAAGCGACAGCAATCGAATTCGCCCAACGCGGCTACGACGTGGCGATGGTCGACCTGCTAGCAGAAGACTTAAAGGAAGCTTCCCTGCAGACCAACGCCGCAGGCGCCGAGGTTTTGCCCTTGGCTGGGGATTTGACCGACTTGGCATTCGCCGAGAGCACGGTTCGAGAAACCGCAGCTAAATGGGGGCGGCTCGATGTGCTGGTGAACAACGCTGCCTGGCGCGAATTGCGAAACATGCGGACCATTAAGATCGATTCCTGGGATCGCACCTTACGCATTTGCTTGACGGTGCCGGCCTTTCTTACCCGATGGGCGGCCGAAGTCATGCAGCCGCAGGGCAGGGGAGTCGTCGTGAACGTTTCGAGCATGAATTCACACTTCACGGCCGGTTTCGCATCTGCCTACACAGCAGCCAAAGGAGGCATTGACGCCCTGACCTATGATTTGGCAAATCTGTATGGCCCCTCTGGAATTCGCGTGGTCGCGGTCAACCCTGGAGCCGTGGACACCGAGTTGAGCCGCGACTACACCGATGAAGCACAGTCCGAAACGATGAACCAAATGCGAGAAATCAGCCAAGATCTCACCCCGCTCGGACGTTGGGCACAGGCGGAAGAAATCGCCAAAGCCATCGCCATGCTGGCCAGCGACGACGCTAGCTTCGTTACCGGCGCCACCTTGTCGGTCGACGGCGGCTGGTCACACAATAACCTGCCGCGAAGCTTGAAAAACAAGATCGATCCCGGTGCATTCTAAGTACCCCCTTCAATTACCTATTCCCCTGCGTCAGCGTCGAGAAGTAGAGAAGAGTTATGGAAAACGGTGCACTATTCAGCCTTGCGCTGGTCGTAGTCTTGGGAATTGGGTCGCAATGGCTGGCATGGCGAATCCATCTGCCATCCATTCTGCTCATGTTAGTCTGCGGGCTATTGGTCGGGCCAGTTTCCGGCCTATTCGATCCAAACGAGCTTTTTAGCAACGACCTACTGTTCGCATTCGTATCATTGTCAGTGGGTCTCATTCTGTTCGAGGGAGGCCTGAGCCTGCGGCTCGCAGAATTACGACAGGTGGGCTATGTCGTATTCGCCTTATGCAGCATCGGGGCGATGGCGACCTGGACGATCATTTCGTTTGCGGCCTACTGGTTCCTCGGGCTTTCACCAGGACTCGCCGCCTTGCAAGGGGCTTTGTTGGTAGTTACCGGCCCCACCGTGGTCGGCCCGCTACTACGTCATATCAAACCAACGCCGCGATTGGCCGCAACTCTGAAGTGGGAAGGTATTCTCATCGACCCCATCGGGGCCATTCTTGCCGTGCTGGTGCTCGAAGCCATTCTGCACAACTCGCTTGAGGCCACCCCTTGGCTCATCATCCGTGGGGGATCGATGGCCCTGCTGGCTGGCACTGTCGTGGGATGCGCCGCCGGCCTACTGCTCACGCAATTGATCAAACGGCACTGGGCGCCCGACATGCTTCAGAACCCGTTTGCGTTGATGCTCGTGGTAATTGCCTTTGTAAGCTCGAATCGTTGGATCGACGAATCGGGCCTGGTGGCGGTCACAGTGATGGGTATTTTTATCGCCAATCAGAGTGGCCTGTACTTCCGTCATATTGTCGAATTCAAAGAAAACCTCCGCGTCCTACTTCTCGGCAGCCTGTTCATCTTACTAGCGGCACGGGTCGATCTGAACTCACTCCAACAACTCGGTTGGGCCATCGTTCCATTCCTTCTCACCGTGATCTTTGTGGCCCGGCCGGTCACTACGTTCGTTTCAACTCTCGGTTCAACTCTTTCCTATCGAGAACGTGTATTCATTGCCTGGATGGCCCCACGCGGAATTGTGGCCGCCGCGATCTCTGCGTTGTTTGCATTGCGACTTGAAATCGATGGCATCACCGAAGGCCAACTCCTCGTGCCGGTCACCTTCGTGGTAATTCTCGTCACGGTGGCCGTCTACGGTCTCACGGCATCTCCGCTCGCCCGTAAGCTCGGCGTTTCGCAGCAAGATCCGCAAGGCGTCATGTTCGTAGGCGCCCACCCACTAGCCCGCGCGATGGCCGAAGCTCTGGACAACGAAGGCTTCGACACCTTGATGGTCGACACCAATCGAGCCCAACTGATCGAAGCCCGAATGCAAGGCCGCCGCACCTACCACGGCAACATCTTGGCCGAACATTCACTAGAAGAGATCGATCTATCGAACATCGGACGCGTCTTGGCAATGACGCCGAACGACGAGGCGAACTCGATGATCGCGCTGCATTGCAGCGAGTTGTTCGGTCGCAAAGAGTCATATCAGTTGGTCGCCGACAGCCGATCGCATGTGGCCACCACTCTAATGCACGGCCGCCATCTGTTTCGCGAAGGAAAAACCTACCGCGAACTCACCCAACGCTTTGCCGACGGTGCGATTATCAAGAAATCGAAACTAAGCAAGGAGTTCGACTACCAGGCGTTCCGGAAGTATTACGGCGATCGTGTGGTCCCCCTGTTTCGCATCAGTGCTAAGGGAACCCTTTCGATCTGCACCAGCGAAAGCACTTCCGAGCCAGAACCAGGCACCACCCTCATCATTCTGGCCGATGAGGCGGACGTGCCTGATCGCAACAACAATGCGAAGAACCACACCGCGGACAGTTCCAAGCCCGCCGTTGAATCTTCCGAAACCTAGGGTCATCAGCCAACCAGCCAGTTCAGAGCCCCCGATCCGGCACCCCATCGAGGTGCTCATCTGCCCAGATAGCGGTCCGAGGTGCTATAACCCGCAGCTTTGGAACGCGAAGGGCAGAGGTTTTGGATTTCGGCAGCTTAGTGTACTCCGGACATTCTTGAAAAGCTTCACTCCGGCGTAGCAGGGGGTTACGCTAAGTAAAGCCTGCTTGTAGATGCCGATCGGCTTACAAAGTTCCCGTCTGAAGAATCGTTGGTGCATCCCCTTGAGCGAACACGTCACTCGAGAAAATCCGCTTGAGGAACCATCTTCCGTATCCGCGGATACGAATCACAGCGAAGTTCAGGGTCCGTCCCAACCGGCCCGCGCGCTGAGTCCACCAACCAAGATCTCTGTTGTCATCCCTTGCTACAACGAAGAGGCCGTACTCGATACACTTTTCGAGAGAATTGAAAAAGCGGCGAGACTCTGGGGCACCGACTACGAGGTCGTCCTCGTCGACGATGGCTCCACCGACACTACCTGGTCGAAGATCGTCACTTTTCACCAAGCGAACCCTCGTTGGCGAGCAGTTCGTCTGGCCCGAAACTTCGGTCACCAAACCGCTCTAAGGGCCGGACTTCATACGGTCACTGGCGACTTGATCGCGGTGCTCGACGCCGATCTTCAAGACCCTCCTGAAGTACTTACGCGATTCTTCGAGCGGTGGCTTGAAGGCTACGATGTGATGTATGGTGTGCGCCAACAGCGGAAAGAGGGGCCCTTCAAACGTTGGGCCTACTTCACATTCTATCGCGTGCTGGGCTTTCTTTCCGAGACAACGATCCCTGCCGATGCCGGCGATTTCTCGGTCATGGACCGACGGGTAGTCGATATTCTAAAGACCATGCCCGAGCGGCAGCCCTTCATCAGGGCACTACGATCTTGGGTTGGCTTTCGCCAAGTGGCGGTCCCCTATGAGCGTTCCCACCGAGAAGCCGGCGAGTCGAAATATGGTTTAGGCGGGCTCATTGGGCTGGCACTCGATGGTATTCTCA